CTCACAGCCATAATAAAAATTCTGGGAAACCTCTGGCTGGAGAGCAAACTTCTCAGGAGGGAAGCAAAAGTCAGCAAAAAAACTTCATTCAGAAGGAAAACACTAAGAAAATCTTTTTAACGTACTCCAGATTTTTCTAACTCAGTGACACCAACTGTGCCTTTTACAATTATTATCTTTTTTTGACTATTTATTCCTTTCAGAAGATGTTTATTTGCTGGAGAGTTTGCATACCACCAAATACAACCAACAAAAAACCTGTCCATTTCAAAATATGGTCAGGTTTATATGACACCTAATTTTTTTTAAACCAACAAAGGTAGTATTAGTGTTACGCAGACCAACACCTAACATTTTACCACATCTAATTTGCTTGCTGAAAGAGTAAAACTTAAAAGCATGTTGTCCTCTGCTGACATATATAATATCTACTATATTTCAGTGTTCAAGGGGGAAAAAAATGCAGCAGAAAACAAAAAAAAAAAAGGTATGCAAAGATAATTTTAAGAAAAATAAGATAATTTGATTCATCATCTCCGGCTCCCAACTTCTTCCCCTCTCTTGCTGCCTACGCAGTTCATGTATGTTCACTGTTTCTAAAGGACAGAGGAATACAGTGAATACTCCTCAAAGAGGAGAAGACAGGGAGAGAAAAGGGGGGAGAAAAAGTGCAGCACATGTTTTTCAGCACTACTCTGCTGAATCAACAGGGAGCAGATTCCCAGCTGGTGCACACTGTAAGCACTGCACAAGTCAATGGAGCCATGTCAAACGACACCACTCAACTGCATTATCTTCTGAGCTCCGTGTAAACAAACAGGAGCAGATTCCGAATATTTGTGAGAATACATCATGTTACTGTCTCCATATGTTTAAACATTTTAGTAGAAGGCACATATGGACCACTCTTCCCACTCACTGTCATTCTCTCCCTCCTGCTCCTCATACACTGTATCTTCTCGGGCCATTGTCAAACTAATTCAAAAATGAATAAGGATACATTTTCATTAAAAACATTTTGTGCTTAGCTGCCATCTGCTTCATTGGCCTCCAAATCCTCACATGCCTTTTCCATGGTCCTCAGTTTCACACATTGAGAAGCTCAAAGTTTTCTCCTGTTGTATTCTGCAGTGAGGTCTACATGAGCTATTGTTTCATGTCAAATTCATCTCTTGAACCAAGTGCTTAATGCATACAGCCCTCACCATGCCTTCTTTCTCTACAATGCCAAATTACATATCCTTTTTTTAATGCCTAAACTCTAATCTTAAAGGTCACACACACACTTCAGATACTCCCTGTCACTGTTTTTATGAGAAGCATGGCTATTCCACCCCCTCTGGGAAACATGGGAGCTCCAATTTGCTCTCACAAGGGGGGGACCCAGACAGTGCTCTCGTCCTGACCCACAGAAGCAGCAGCTGAAGCCAACACCCCTTTCCTGAGAGAGGTAACAGCCTGTCTCCATCATAACCAGACCCATTGTCTTTTCTGAGTAGGAAAAGTTTCAGTAAGTGTTTGACACTGAGCACCTCCAGCTTGACTGGAGGAAAGAAGACAAATAATTAAGATAGGAGGAAAACCCAACAGGGCACCATAGGTCTTATATACAGATCACTGCTATTACTTTTTTCAAATAGTTTGCCCAGCTCATTTCTTACAGCCCAAGCAATAGCAAAAGTGTCTTAGGAAGCATTAGCTGGACTTGCTTGAAAAAAAGAACACAAAGGTTATGGTAGACCAGGGATCCTGAACTTCCAGGCAGGCTTTCAAGGGTGTAATTTACATTTGGTTACTGCAGGCTTGGAAAGGTCTAGTGACTAAGGCAGCAGACCTCAAAAGTTAATCATCAGCAAGAGGATTACAGAAAACAACCCAAGTTTTCTTTACAGCAGACCACTGGACAGGCAGAGCTAGTGTGTCATCAGACACAAGCCTTGCAAGGGGTACAGCGGGAACAGTTTTTCTGGTTCTCACATCAGTTGCTGAGCAAGATGCAGGCAGCTTCCATAAACCTTTCCAGCAGTCACAACTGCCAGAAAAAAAAGAAAAACATAAAAGGCCATAGTCTCATTTGTATGTCTGGACACTCAGTTTTTATCTTTTCCATCTCCACCTGTGCCCCAAAGCACTGATGCAAACAAACAACTTCAGTACTCTCCTTTTATCTTGAGGGATTCTTCTATGTGGCCTTGCAACCCCAGTGAGGCACAGCTGGCATTTAATACACCAACATAAAAGTAGGTGCAAGTCGGAGAGAAGAGAGCATGCCAAGCCCAACACAACATGCTGCAGCTCCAAAGAGAGCAAACTCGTATTGCTGCTGCCTTGGGGCACTCAAAGGTAAAGGAATGTACACTACACAGAAACCAGGGCAACCAAACTGGCAGGAGAGCTGCTGACGCTTTATGCTGAGCCTTAAAAATACCCAGAAAAATATAAAAGTTACAGTTTCTTTGTAGCTTGCTCTTTTATACAAGTGTCCATGGATTATTCTAACTCGGACACAGCATATCCTTCCCTCCCTCCTCCCTCAGCATTGTTCCTGCACAAGTTATATTGAAGGAAGCACAAGCTTCTTCCTTTGTTTGTGAGCAAGAAAAAGAAGGAAAAAAACAACTTCCACTCAATGGCAAAACTAAACAGAAGCCAGGCTACTTAAAGTACCAAGTGTTCCCACACAACATTTACCCACCAACTTCAGATCTTTCAGCGTAAAACCTAAACAAGGACAAGAGAGATTTAATACACACTCCTCCAAAGACACAGAGCAAAGAAAAATAAAAAGGCACAAAGTAACCTTGAATGACAGAGAGCATTTTCAGCTTGACATTACTGTGACGCACAAGGAGAATGTCAGGGTTAAATTAGATACTGTACTAGAAAAATATTCCCTGGAAAATAACATAGGTGTCGTATCTCGACCTGTAGGAAAACGCCAACTGAACCACTCAGTAACTGAAAGGTCCTTCCTTTTCTTCTTTTTCATGTCTTGTGTGATTTCATACTGCAAGAGTCCTCTCCTGATCAGGAGTTCATTGCCAAAGTGCCCGAGCAATCTAGCAGGGGAGACAAAAAGCTTCCTTTGGAACAACTGCACTTTTGTACTTCCCTTGTTTTTCTTCAGAGCAGGAGTACTTTGGGGTTGTTTTCTTTTTACATGAATGGCCTGCAAGTTTGAAGTCATCTTCCTTCAAGTCTGTGTCTTAACACAACAAACAGATTAGAACAAGCCCAAGTTTCTCACTCTGCTTATTGATTAGAACTTGATAATTTCTTTATATGCTGTACATCCTAAGATACTCTAAACCAAATTGTTTTTCCACACAGTAATGCTCTTAACGAGCCTTTCAAGGCTGTTTTCCAATACTTGCTTTCTTCTTCACAATCTCCCATGAAAGGAGATGAAAGCATATATGGAAAAAAAAAAAACATTACCTACACCCTTGTCTTCAAAGTCCTGCTATCACAGTCTATGACCTCATTTTATTTAAACAAATTTCTTCTCATGTGTATTTGGGATCCAAATTATTTTAACAGTCCCTTAGATGCCAAAAAAGTTTTTTTTTGCACATTACTTTTGTCTACTCCAAATAGGCAAAGCACACAACAGAAAGCAAGTAAGTCATTATATCTCATTAAATACACTCTTTTTACATCTATTCAAACCACCGAGGGCAATGAGGTTGCACAGGAGTCACCTTGGTCACCCTCTGTAGACAACAGAGTTACACTCTGTTAATGAAGACATAAATTTGGCCTGCAGGACTCACAGAAACACTCCCCTCACCCTGGGCAAAGCACAAAGTCTCCCAGTAACAGGCTGAGGGGGTTTCTTTGCTCTGTTTAAAAAACGAACTTTATTTCCTGTAAGTATTGATAAAAGCACATACTCCAAATGCCTTTTGCAGAGGTATTTTTGGCATGTGTTGACTGAAACTGCCCCACGAGCTACTTTAATTGCAGTTCTAATTGCACAGGAGGACTCCACAAGCAACTGACAAGCCACTTTAGAAAAACACAACATGCCCAGATGAAGGTAACCCGAATACAGTCCTGATTTCTCTCACACTGTGGTGCTTCCTATCATTACGGCAGCTTTGGTCAAGACTGCATGTGGAATTTAGGAACTGTTCCTCCCAGTGACGACTGTTGGTAATTAAGTCCTACTGATACTGCAGGGCTCAGCTTTCGTAAAGTTACAGGATGAACTCAAAAAGCCATGTAATCATGTTACCTGAGTAAATTATGTGTTTGTTTACTCTATTTTTAAAAAGTGAGAAGGGATCAAGTTTTGTTTTTGCTAATACTTGCTATCAGAAAGACATAAACCTGCCAGATAAGAACAAAACAGGCAAGGGTAACCTCGCTGGAAGTGAAGATATTCATGGACTCTTTGACTCTACAGACTGTACTGTGAAAATTAATGTCCGTAAACAAGTCCTTACGTACAGGATTTACCATTACAGGAATGTCTGGAGGTGCACGCCAAGAGAAGCAAAAAACAAAGTCCAGTTAACAGCTTCAGCACGCACGGCAACAGCTCTGGCACACACGGAATGTCACTGCAGCAGGAGGAGATGGCACTCGATGGCCACCTCCTGCCAAATCCTCAAGGCAGGTAAAGCTGCCTCCAGCTTTGCTACAATGGCATTGGTTCCATACTTACACTTCCCACCTTTTCCAAGAGGAAATAACTCGGGGAGTTTGTTGGGCCGTGTTTTACAGTTGCCGATTTGTGTTTTCTCTTTTTATTTTTAATTTAAGTGAGACAAACTGTGGCAGCATTCTCCTATGAAAATCCTGTGAGAGGGAGAAATGTGCTGCCACAACAAACCTTTACTGACTGAGGAAGAATCTATTTGTGTGGCAACTGGGTAACTCATGCAAACTATAAACAACTAGAATAAAAGTTTCAGTTGCTGAAGAGCTTAAAATAAACCCACAAAACTAAACATTCAAAAGAGGTAACAAAAACAGGATATCTCCTCAAATCTTACTTTTCTGGCAGTGGTTTGTGGTCCAGCAGCGGTAGTTGTACTCATTGTTAATAGATGTCTTCTCACACAATGGCTTCTCTTCCATTGTTCCCGGACACAAGTCCCCACATTCCTTTGGAGGTTTATTCCCAACGATGTAGTTATTGGACACTGCATCTAGGATGAGAGACCAGTCCACTGTGGAGAGGTAACACAGGTCAGAGTTCTTCTCGATCCGGATGGCCCCACGGGTGATGTTCCTCAAGTTGTGAAGCCCAATCTCCTTAAGATTCGTCATTTCAAAGATCACCAAGGCATAGTTATAGAAGAGGTTCCTGCCACGAATGACTGTGAGGTTGGGGAAGAGATCACTGAGGCTTTCCAAGCCTGCCACACGGAACAGCAGCAAGTAGTCAGTGATGACAGTGAGCTTTGGGAAGCGGAAGTTGCGGTAATCCTCCGCTTTGGAGATGAGCAGGATCTGCAGGAAACCCTCGATCACCGTGCAGTTCTCCAGGCGCTTCAGCTCATGGATATCATTGCGAATGTCGACATTTGGCCCGCAAACTGAAATGGAAAAGGAGGAAGAAAAGTTAGTAAATAAGCTGCAAATAGTTAGTAAATAAGGCATTCCTAAACCTTTTGAAACTGGAATGTAAGAAGGATATTCTGATGGCCATAAGATTTTTAACTTTTAATTAGGTTGCAGTGTTAAAATAGAAAATGAGTGCTTGATTTACACCTACATGGAACCTTCATTTCATTTAACCTGTCACGCTAAGCACTGCCAGGAGCACCACGGGGATGGCAGCTCTCCCTATACTCTGCAGCACACAGAGACACGTTGGGTTATTATTGCTGATGACAAGAGCTGCATTACACTGAGGAATAAAAAGATAAGCCAAATGCTTTTGCACGCCCCGCTTCAAATTAGATCATGAACGTGTGCCCAGAGCAGGGCGTCAGCCACATCACTTCAAACCAGTCAGGTGAAACAGAAAGTGATCCAGTGGTCATTATGTTACTATTTCACTCCCCACCCTGCTTAAGACACAGGCACACAAAGAGGGCATTTCCCAGAAAATTACAACTCCGGCCTCAAATCACTCTTTCCTTCCAGGGTCACACGCCAAACAAGCCCTAATTCTTGGAATGCTAGTCTTGCAGTAGGTCAGCAACAACACTAAATCCACAGAAAGCTGGTCAGCACTTCCTGCTCTGTGACTGGGAAGAAAACAAAGTGCTTGGACTTATAGCATTGAATTCCTGTTTGCATGTTCCAGTAAACCAAGTTTCACTAATTTTGGCACCAAGATATAAAAAAGTCTCTTGAGTTCTAAGAAACACAGGATAAATTTATTTACAAGAACATGGAGCATCACAGTGAAGAATCTTTCCTTGAAAACAGCAGATTGAACTCAATGAACTCAATGAAGAAAATAATGACCAAAAGGATTATTCCCAAATAAATCTATGTATTAAGTTTTTCCATATTAGAGACACATCTCAATAACAACATTAAAGGCACTAGAAGACATGTGTGTTAATAATGCAATATTTAGACACATACAATCCACTTGGACTTAAAACAAAGAACTACAGAGTGTAGAAAGCTGTTATTCTTCAAAACCCTCAGAGCTGGTCTTCTTTGGAAAACATGGAAAAAAGATTCCCCATTAGAGATACTAAGTTGCTTGTAAGCAAACAAAGCAAAATGCCTATTTATTTAAGCAACCCAAACCTCAAATAAACACCAAGCAATTCAATTTTGTGGAAAGGTTCTCTTTTAATGCATACTAGGCTTAATTATTTTAAAAACCTCTTTTCCTCAGACAAGAGGAAGGTCTAAACAAGCATTGCAGCCAAAAAACTTAAATTCTAACCCAGACAAATTGTCCAGAGATTCAGAAATTGCACTGACAATAGAAAGCAGTCCTTCCATCCCACAACACTTATCTAAGGCTAATAACTTAAGCTAACAAAAGATCCAGAGCATGAGCATGCTAAAACCACAGCAACTCTAATACCCAACGAGGACTTAAAGACTTCTAAGTCTTTAAAAGACTAAAGGACTTTCTGGTTAGAGGGACAGCATAAAAAAATAAAATAGGGCGAAATCTTTGTTAGGAAACAGATGTTTCTACACAAACTATTACCTAATCTTCCTTCTGTAAAGATTCAAGCTGAAAGCAAAGGCTATTAAATGTGACTTGCTGCACTGAAGTAGCTATGTGCAAGAAAGTTCATTCCCTAGACCTTAAAAAAAACAAAACAAAACAAAACACCAAGACTAATGTACCACCAGGAACACTTGGTCCCCATGAGCACTGAGACAGGAAATCCCCATTTTTGTACATACTGATTTCAGAAAAATTGGACTCTACTGCTGGAATATATGTCACAGCTTGAACTTCAGGAAAACATTAAAAAGGGTGAATGGGTTGGCACTATCCAGCTTTAGAAGCCAGATAGAAGAGGGAGAATATTAAAGAACTCCAAGGTAGTAGATCTGGTAAGAGATGCACTGGTTAGTGCAGAAGTGAGGAGTTCTCCCCTGAACCTGTAGGAAAAACAACCTTGAGCCTTATTAAACTCCTTCAATGAGCTGGTACCCATGTCTTGCTTTCAACTTCAGAAATCATGTTCTAAAGCCACAAACCCTCCATCCACCACAGGTACTGTGCCCTCTGCCCAAAGGGTATTTACACTCCGACAGTGAGCTTCTTTTGTTTCAAAAAGGCAAGTTAAAACACACACAATGTCCCCCATTAAACCCTTTTGGCTTCCATCTCTGCCTGCTGGCAGGCCAAGGTGAACAGTATGGCTCCTGCTATGGCAAAGCAAAAGTAGCAGAATTTATTCTCCTGCCATAAAAGTTTAGAAAGCCTAACTGCTCCAAGCCCTTTATTTTGTTAAAGAAATAAAATTTGCACTTGTGCTGACATTTTGCAGGCAAGGTTCCAGAGTGATGGGTTTAAAAACAGCTGAGTTACAATACCCTAAAGAACAATTTGTAAGAGAAATGGCAGCAACCGTTAACTAAAGCATTATATATCTGTTCGTGTCTCTGTTTGAGGCTGGGCTTTCAAAGTCGTATTGCTTTTAGCTTCATGTTTGTTTCAGCTCAAAAGTTACTTAATTTTAGATATTTAATGCTTTTATAAATCGATGAAATTTCTAGAGCTCCGTGGCAAAAGTATGCACTCACTTGCCTCAGTTATGAAACATCATCCCCTCAATATGGAAAAGGATGAAGTGCAGTGGGGTCCCACATTAGAAATTGATCACAGATGAGTGGCTGTTGACATTGCTGATTTAAGAACTTACTAGTTCATCTAGTGAGTTATGTTTTTCAGAACTTTACACATATAATGAGAACTGCAGAGACACAAATGTGAAATAGGACAAGCATTGTGGGCCATCCTGACACTTGGAAAAATCAGCTCCCATTAAAGAAGATATCTTTAAAAAAAATTTTCTTTTGGGTTCACATTGTTCACCAGAGTTAATTATACCACAATACATCATCTTTTTCTCACGTTTTTCTCTCTGCTCTGAAAAGGATTCTATGAAAAACAAATTAATCAGAGCTCAAAGTCAACTCCAATTTCCATCTGGCTGTTCTGTGTTTTCTTTGGATGCCATTTGAGAGAAAGCGTATATGGACTCACAATATAAACTCGTCTGTCAGACACAATGAAGTGCACAGAAAATGCTCTTTAGAGCATTTATACTCCATTTAAGAGTTTTGAATATTCCAGTTTAGAGAACTTTTTTAATATGACTAGGATAACTTGCCTTTGTTTTACATTTAATTCAGAACTGGAAATTAACTATTATGTATTTATTTTGCTCACTAACAGCACATAAAAATGCAACAGATGTTTATTACCCTGCCCCACTAGTTCTGGGTAGATTATAAACACCCAGGATAATTACCAATAGTCAGATTCATGCTGTTTTCATTCAGCTGCCTACAGATTTCCAAGCCTTTCCTTAAACTGCCTATCATTTATCAGACTCGGCCTAAAACAAGAACCTAATTCAGAGTCAGACATTTGTTCTTTAAAGGCAAATGTATTTATTTGTTTAAAAGATAACTCCCCAGTATGGTAAAATACCAAAGTGAAGCAACGCAGTCTGTACCTAGACAAACACAAATGCCTCCCTGGAAACAGCTCTTTAGTAAAGGAGTCCTGAGAACAAGAAGCCCTGTTGTGCTCTTTTTTTTATGGGGAGGATCCTATGGGCAAACTGCAGGGCATATAAACTTCCAAAGGCAATAGAAATACCCACTCCACACCCCAGTCATCCAGACGATCTGCAGCCCATTCCTAGTCAGAAGAGAGATCCAAGCCGACTCATGTAACTGAGATGGGGTCAATGAACTACCAGGAAAAGTGATTGCACATAACAGGTTCATACGAGAGTAATTAATGCTCCTTGATCTGGCAGAGCCTCCTGGCAAGTCTCTGTGTAAGTGGTGCCCTGGCTGGGAGCAGAGCTGGGCTGTGAACACACACAGCACCACTGCTGAGGACAGGCTGGGCAGGCTCCAAACCAGCTGTGTCACAGAGTGCAGTGATCCAGCAGATTCCTCTCGACCTTAACTATAATTTGCCAAAGCTCACTTGGATCATTAAAACCATTTTGACACACAGAGCTGCCTTGTCACCTTGAGAAACACCTGCTATCTCATCACCATCTATTTACAAACAGTCATTTACTCCACACAGCAGCTCTTCACTCTTTTCCTATATCCACCAGTTACTTCAGGTCACTGGTGACTCCTGAAAGGACTTGGCTGTTGCCCTTCAGTGTTTCGAAGGAACCCTTCTCTTCTTTCTACAAAACCTCATGCTAGCACAGACAAAGCAGCAGAGAGCTTTCTGTTCAACATTCACCCTACACTACAACTTCTGCTGGCTACACCACATCCCATCTGGACATAAATTCATCACAGCTAATTCACTATCAATACCAAGGTGTTCATGGGCAGCATTGACAGCTCACACATTCACTGGTTTTCATAAGAGAAGGATTCATTTCCTACAAGAAGCAATTTCATCATGGTGTAGTTACAAGTTTTGTATTCCTCCAGGTTGCTCCATTTAGAAGTTCTAAAGAAACACAACTATGTTAATTTTTCTTGGAAAAAACCACACTCCTTGACATTTTAAGCCTTGCCTTTGACACTTGACTTTTTTGGATGACATTAGAAGGCTGTACTGCACTGCACAGTCTCAATATCCTCCCAACTAGCCAGAAGTTAAAGATGGAGCAACCACCACTATCCAGCCCTCTCAACACCACAAAGTCTCAGACAAAACAGCACCAAGGCAGCTCTGAGTCAATCCAGCACATCCCTTTCACAATCCTAAGGCCTTTTCAGCACAAGTCTACCCCAGCTGGATCAGGTTTTCCCTAGCAACAGAGACTTGTTCAGCCTGAGCAGTCCTTTACGTCTCTGAAATGAGAACGAGAATGAGGATAGACAGCCTGCCATGAGCACCTCACCAGCAACCTCAATATCAGTTCACATTCACCTTTTTTCTGCTTTCTGATTT